CTCTTGAGACAAAAACACCAATCATTACTGTGGCCTGCTGCTTACAAAAGTTACAAAACATAGGTTTTTTGAGCTACAGCTGCAGATTCAAAAATTAGTCCCAGTAGATTTTGCTTTAGTAATATAAAAAGTAAAACACCCCAAAGAGAGCAGAAAGAATTAGCTAAGGATGTTAGAGATGTGAAAGAAGATGATGGTAGAAAAAAGCCACTTCAAACATCTCCAGACTTGAATTATAAGCCAAGGTTTCTTTTGAATCTTACACCTACCTCACTCCCTGTCCCCACTCCAGGCCTTTCCCCCCACTTTCTTAATAGTAATATATGCCCAGGGCTTAAAAATAACACAAAAGTATGTAAGATAAAGTGTTAAAATCTTATAACCGCTATCTACCCTCAATCCTATTCCAAATACCTAGAACTTTTAAAAAATCATTGTCTAGCTCATAAAAGGTTAAAGGAACACTGTGTGTGTCCAGTGTGTAGTGAGTCTGTTTCTCCAGCCTCAGTTGCATAAGCTAGAAAACAGGAGACAGAGAATCGAAAGATGGAGGCTCTACTCCTCACTTCTTCGCTACCATTTTTACACATTTGAGCAAAGCACTTCCCTCCCTGGGATCCTTTTCCTTGTCTGGAAAATAAGGAAGGTGAAAACACTGGTTCGTGGTTCACTCTGAACTCAAACCTTCTGTACCAGCACTGTCTAACAGAAACACAAATGAGCTACAAATGTGAGCCAAATTAGTAATTTTAATTTTTTTAATAACCACATTTAAAAAATAAAAAGAAACAGGTGAAGGTAATTTTAATAATTTCATCCCAATACAGTCAAAATATTATCATCTCAACATGTAATCAATATTAAAACATTAAAATTTTAACAATAATATTAACAGTTTACATTCTATTTTTCAAACTTAGTCTTCAAAATCTAGTGTGTATTTGACAAAAGACATCTCCATTCAGACTAGCTACATTTCAAGTGCTCAGAAGCCACATGTGGATAATTGCTACTGTTTGAGCAGCACAGTTTTATATCAGTGCTGGACGTTATTTGAAAAAAGCTCTATTTCAGTGAGTAGCTCACTTCTGCATCTCTATACTTGATTGCCGCTGTTGCCAACAAAACATTATTATTGATTATCATTTGTTGGCAATATCTAATTATCAATGAAAAAGTATTCAACCTACCTAGACTACAGATAGAGTTTCAGTATCAGAGCTTTGACTAATTCTAGTGCTGTTTCCCTATAATACATTTCGTCTTCAAGGGAATTTTTCTTGTCTGGCTAGGTCATTCCTATTGAATTTTAGATCACTTACCCTGAGCTTCACAGAACAATTAGGATACAGTATCATTGTTAATTAACAATTTGAAAAGTACCCTATGCTTTTAAAAGCAGATTAAATCACTCACTTGTATCCTATCAATAATGTTCTCCACCTCTCAATCCTCTTACTAAAAAAAAAAATACCTAACATATTATAAAGCATATAGCATTACCAAGCAATGAAAGTCTAGCAAGTGAAATATCACTTAAACATTGTACTGTTTATTAATAAATTCAACAAATAACACTTGATTACCTTCCATAGGCCAAGACCTGTGCTTGGTTTTGAGGATTCCTACCTTGGTGGTTTAATTTCAAAGATTCCATCAGAGTAGTCCATTATCAGAGGCTTTGGAATTTATGTATTGGGGTAAGAGTGTAAGTTTGTATTCTATGGTATCTTTTCCTACAGACAAGCCTTCCCCCACTCCCACCCCACCCCCAGCCAAGTCAGACACATTTTTAAATAGAACCCTTTCTATCTCTCCAAGTCTATTCTGCCTATAAAACAAAATATGCTGAAATATACTATATACCACCTTGGGTGTGTGCTATAAATTTAAAAGTACTACATATTCATTGTAAAAGAAAATATTCAAACAACTCAGAAGTATATAAAGTAAAAAGTGAAAATTCTCCCCTCTCTTAATGCATTATTCCCAGGTGCACCCCTCAGAGGTGACCACATAGAGAATTTTACGAATATCATCCCAGAACTCTCCAAGCATATATAAATATGTATACACATATGTATACACAGACATGTACATATGCAAATTTTGAGAAAGTATTTTTAAAGTAACACATGATTATGAGGAAAATGCCAATAATACAGAAGCATATAAAAATGGAGTGATCATATGCACATAGAATATTTGAGGGAGGATTTTAAAACAAAGTAACACATGATTATGGAGAAAATGCAAATTATGGTAAAAAGCAAGTTGTAAAATACAAAGTAAAAATTTCCCTATCACACAGTCCCACTACCCAAATATGGGAATAAAAAATGTCCATAGTTCTTTCCGTGTGTGTTCCCTTTGTGAAATTTTCTATGAATACACAACAATACACATACATATACACACACATATGCATATATATGCCCAATATACACTTGAATATATATAAAATATATATATGCTTAATGTAGATATGAAATAGGTTCTTATTGTGAAATCAGTATATACATAGATAAGTATACAAAACAACAAAGTGAACCCCCTTGCAATCACCACCCAGATGGAAAAGCAAAACATTGCCAGCCTCTTAGAGGCCCTCTTTATGACTCTTAATCACTACCCTCTCCCACCCTCCATTTCAAAGACTTCCACTATCCTGACTTTTAGGGTAATCAATTCCTTGTTTTTCTTTTTAATTTTACCACCTAAGCACACATCATTAAGGACTATAACTTTTCCTATTTTCAGATTTTTAAATAAATGAAGTCATACCATATGTATTCTTTTGTGTCTTGTTTCTTTTATTTGCAATATTTATTTATTTTTAGCTTAATACATCTTGGGAATCTTAGTCAATATATAGAGAATTACCTCATCCTTTTAATTCCATGATATAGAATTGAACAAATGGCCTGATAAATACCATATTATTTTCACTCTTTTTGATCATTATGAATAACATTATAAATAACACGTTGGGCATTCATTTTCACAAATCAACTACTTTAACTCAAAAAGTAATCTTACTGCTAATATAAAATGAAATGAGGCGGCATGTTAATTATTTCAGAATTCTTGAACAAATTTCAGTTCCAATACAATAAAATTTTAACAAGGGATGATCCTGTCTTCTAAATTCTAGACTGCTTTCCAAAACTTACATTTTGCTTAGAGCACATTGGTGTTGTGTTTTTCAAAGTATAGTCCTAAATTGCTATCACCACAGTTACTGAAGGATCTTATTAAAATGCACATTTCCCAGCATTCAATATCTTTGGAGATGGGCCTGATAAATTAGTTAAGATACAGTCTAAACTGCTATAACCAAGAGACTACAAAATATAGTGGTACCAACAAGACAGAAGTTTACGTCCTTCTCATTTAACAGTTCAGTACAGCACAGGCTGGTCAATGTGGAGAAGGCAGCTCTATTCCACAAAGCTGTCCAGGGAATCAAATTAATGCTGTCTTGTTACTCTGCCAATCTTTGGGACATGGCCTTGCTTGTATGGTAGAAGCTGGTGCCTGACCATGTCCATGGGCTATCACATTCTCATCAGAGGGAAGGGAAAAGCAAGGAAGTAGAGGGCAAGCAATTTGTCAGGAAGTGCAGAAGTTGTGCACATTCCATTCCCAGAAAAATATGGCCACAGCTAGTTACCAGGCAAGCTGGGAATAGCTGGCTTCTGGCTCTACTGGCCACGTGCCCTCCTAACACTGGAAGTGGCAGGGTTTAATTACTAAGAGGAAGAAGAGGATGGATATTGGGGGGGAGGGGTGCAATTAGTCTCTGCAGCACCTGGAAATCTACTTCGTTAGGTGCTCCAAGTCCTCTGTCCTCAAGGTGTGACCGGTCACTGGGCTGGAGAAATGCTCTTTTATATTTGGTTTAAGGTCACTTCTCCCAAGTAGCCCTGGAACTTCGTGAGCTATCTACACTTACTAAGAAAACCAGGAATCAGTTTTTAAAAAATTTTAAAAAGCTAATATCAATAAAGTGCTAATTATATACCAAGAACTTTACATGAATTACTTCATGTAATCATTACAACAAGTTTAAGGTACTGTTTACTACCCCCCCTGATTACAGATAAGGAAACTATGACTTAGGGAATTTCCTTGACCAAGCTGTACAATTAGTCTATAATTAGTAAGGGTTGGGACTTGAACCCAGAACCTATGTGCTTAACCTTAGTCTGTACAGTGAAGCATTACATTTAAAAGAACATCTATCCTTTAAAATCTATATATGTTCAATATAAAATTTACTGATGTTAATAGTTTTGACAGAAAGACAAAATTTGGGGCAATTGTTGGGAGATGATACCCAAGGCTGGCCCAGTCCTAATATTAATGATACTATTAATTGACACTGAGCATTTATACTCTGTAAGGCACTGTTCTAAGTGCTTCACCCTTGCAACGACCCTGAGTTAGGGCCTCTAATCAATCATCTTCAGTTTACAGATAAGGAAACTGGGGCATAGAGATGTTAAGTCACTTGGCCAAGGTAACACGGCTGATAAGAGTAATATGCTTAACCACTAGCCTATACCACCAACATGAAAAGAGAAGCAGGCATAGTCTCTTGGGACTCCTGATAATTATGAGTCATATTTACCAAGGTTCTGATACATATTGCTTTTTACAGGGTATTTCTTAGGTAACAAGTTTTACGTGGGAAGTTGGAGGCTGTCTGATATGCAGATAAGGCAATTAGCAAGTCCTCTGAACATTATGACAAACATCTTACTTCATCATTATCAATTAATATTTATCAATTTCTATACCAAGTCCTGGAGCTCAACTGGGTGTATCTGGTTCTTATTTTCATCATGGCCCCTTTAAGTAAAATGATCCTCCCAAATTTGCATTTAACTTTGGTCATGCAAGGCACACTCCAGGATGAGTGGATGGTACTAGGACAAGGAATGTTCTATTTCCCTCCAATGACCAGTGTTATTTTTGCTCCCTAAGCTTCATCTTACCTCACTGCTTCAGTGAACTTGGAACTGCCACCTCATGGTTTGCTGCATTCTAGAGACGATTCTCACTATAAGAAAAGAATAGGCATTATGATTATATGAATTATTGAGAATTTCCAATGTACTGTATACACCTTTGGGGGGCATGAATTAAAGGGGTAGCATGAAGAAGTTTCTCTGTGGTGAGAGAACAGTTCCATATCTTGATTATGGTGGTAGGTACACAGATGTATACATGGAATGAAATTGCATCCCATACACACACACACAAACACACACACACACAAACACGCACACACACAAATGTCTGCAAGTATAAAATGATGAAAATGGAATCAAGTCTGTAGTATAGTTAACATTATTATACAATGTCAATTTCCTGGTTTTGATATTATATTACAATCTTATTACCTATTGTATTACATACAAGATGTCATCCCTGGGAGTTGGGTGAAGGGTACATAGGAGTCTGTGAACTATTTTTGCAACTTCTTGTGAGTCTACAGTTATTTTCAAATAAAATGTTTTAATGGTGGGGGTGGAGACGGTGGAAAAGTGGTTCCAAGACCAGCTCTGGCCATCAGCTGAGAACATGGTAGAAAAACAGAATCTCAGACCCTACCCCAGACCTACTAAATTAGAATCTGCATTTTAACAAGAACCTCAGATGATTCATATGTACATTAAAGTTGAGAAGCACTGCTATACAAGAAATAAAAGTCATATTCACGTATTTCTCACTCTTTCAAAAAAGTTTCTTCATTTCAGTGTCAGAAAGGTTATTCCAGAGGTCCAGGCCTGCTTCATTGGTGTTCAACCAGTTTGGTCACACAGGATACCAGCTCAGAAGACCCTCCTCCCTGCCATGAGATTTAATACTCTATCTTGAAATTCTTAATAATTTTATCTTTGCCTTTGTGTTTTTTAAGTGAAGTCCTATGAGACCACAGCCCATGCACTAGGAGCTTGGAGCCTCAACTTACCCACCAGCCCACTTCCCTGCCTCACTGAGATGGGTTCTCAGCTGCCCTGGCACTTTAGAACCCTCACCCCAACCCTTCTGGTCCTCACCCAGCTATTACTACTGAACTCCAGACCCAGCAGGGGTGTGAGCATAGACGGAAGGGTTGCATAGCTCCCTGAGACATCTCAGGGTGAGGCATGTGGCAGGCATCCCAGTCCCAGACTGGCAGTGCCACAGGGCGTTCACAATGTAACTGTGGGTGAAAGAGAGACTCTTACCCACCTCTGATCAAGGTATTTAGCAAGTTCCAGCATGGAGGTGGCACTACCCTCAGCGGTCCCCCGTCCGCCATGGATTCCTGTGGGCAGTAAGCCCAGGGAAAAGGGAGATATCTGGCAAGAATTCTCTGCCTCCTTCCAGGACATGGGTCTGTCCCATGGCTGGTGGAAGGGGGATGCCAGCAGCTGGTGGGTGGTATATGCGTTTAGTCACAGGATGGGACTCTTTCAGAATCTGCGTTTGCCAGGTTAAGCGTCCCTATGCCTGCAGATGTGGAACATGAAATAGCAAATAAAAGCAACGTTACAAATTGGAAAGACTGTGGAAGAAAGAAACAAGCTTTAGATTTTACTTTTCTTGCTTTTTGAACAGGGGCTCCCCACTTTCATTTTGTACTAGGCCTGGCAAATCGTGTAATCAGTGCCGCAGAGGGACTGGGAATCAAAAAGTGAACTCTCAGCACCTGCGTGGTAAGTACCTGGGCCCAATGGCGAGCTCTAATGGGTGCCAAAAGCAGCCTTCATTGTACGATGGCTCCAGGAATACTTTGGCAACATAAGGTGCACTTGTCCCTCTCTTTAAAGAAGACTTTACAAAACGGAAAACATCAGCCAGCACCAAGAATTGTAAGCGCAGCTCTCCCTGTTCTTTCTGTGTATGCCTACTTCTACCCAGGCACGCTTCCATATTTTCTAATTGTAAGAAAAGAAGACATAATCAGCAGTAAATTTTCTTCCACTTTTAAAAATTAAAATTCCCAAGTGGAAGAATACAGAAAAAAAAAGTGGGATTTTGGAATAAGTCTGGGAAGAGAGAGAGAAAGGACGGACTTAAGGTTTTAGAGACTATATTTATATGCCTATATGTTTAGTTCTTCCTTAATTCATTCAAAAAATAATTACTCATTGAGCCACGCCCTAAAAGATCACTAGTGAATTTAATTTCCTCTGAAGCATTTTTGGAATCCTGCACTTTTTCCGTAAATAAATTTAAATCCTTGCCTTTTTCAACTCTTCCCCATAATTTATTTATGAATAAAAAAGTGATATTCAGAAATAAAACACATCATTTATTATTTATTGTCTTGTAGGAAGTTCTTAGTAATGGTTTTTTAGGATATGGAACTACAGGTGATTTTAGTTTTCCTCTTACTATTTCCCCGTTTGTCTGCAGTCAGTATTATAGAGGGCATTAGCAACATTACATGATAGGGCCATAATGCCTCTGATACTCATTATTCTTTGATACTAACTACTTGGATTTTTTTCAGAAATGTACTTTGATCTTTTGGATACAGCCATCCGTTCACTAACAGGAGTGATAAAGCTAAATATGAACTTCCCACATTTAAGGGGTGCTAATTCATTCAACAGCCCAATTGAGTCACCACCTGATAACCCAATTTATTACAACATATCAGACTCCAAACACCCAATTAATTAACTCCTCTGCTCTACATGAGCATACATATCCTGACTCTGTTAACTGAATCATGAAGTTTGGTTTTTTTTAAACCAGTGATTTCCATATTATGTTGTAGGGCAGTGAGTCAAAGCAGCCTAAAAACTCTTTATTATATTTTCAATTGAAAAACTGCCTGTCTTAGAATTATGGGGAAACTACCATAATAAAGTATATTCAGTATATTCATAATATATATATTCAGTATATTCAGTATAATAGTTACTAAATAATTGTAACTATTAATTTGTCGTACTTTCAACAGCTTTCAAATTACTTCTGTCTTCCCACAGTATTATTTAGATAGAACTTAAACTGTAAAATGAAAGGACAGGAAGCACAAGCATTTAAGATGGTAACACTGCTAATGAGGCTAGACTTTGAGAATAATCCAGTCTGGTGGTCCTCAATCCTCACTGCACCTTAGAGTCCCCTAAAGTTTTTTAAATATACAGATGCCTGAGCCCAACCCCAGATCAATTAAATCAGACTCTTAGAGAGGGGCTTAGGCATGGCAATCTATTTTATATACTAGTCACCATTCTGAATGCTTTTACATAATCATTTAATACTGCACCTCATAACATAGGTACAATTTATCATCATCTCCACTTTACTTGTGAGGAATTGAGGTTTAAGGAGGTAAACTGAAGTAAGCGACAGATGTAGGATCATTCCAGGCTGCATCACAACCTGCGTTATGCTATGAATTTCGCAACCCTTCAAACTATCTTCCCAAAGACTAGAACGCTGCCATATAATTCTTACCCAGGATATATATACTCAGAAGAAACAGTCAGAAATGAATAAATGTATAAAATGCAGACTGACTTTAGGGAGAGCAAAAAGCACCAGTAAATTAGAGGCGATGACATAAATTTTGTAAAAGACACCTTGAAACAATGAAAATTAGGACAGCATAGTCTGGCTGGTGGTGATCAGGATAATGCTATCATTTACTGAGCGCAATTTTAGAGAAAAGAAAACTAAGGCAGAGAGAGGATAAGTAACTTGCCGAGGACCACAACTAGTAAGTGACAGGGCAAGGATCTAAACTGAGGAAACGTGGCAGCCAAACCCAGGCAACCGGATAACAGGGAATGAGAAAAACAAGCGAACTTAGTGATGAAGCTCACAAATATTTATTTAGGCCAACTGTGCAAAATGAAGCCTTCTTTCTCAAGAAGCTAAACTTGATTATTAATATAATTTCATGTTGAATAAAAATGCATGAGTAAAATAGAAACTTCTTCCTTAAGAGGCTGACAATTAAGTGGGAGAGTTAAAGTAGAGCAAGATGAGATTCAAAAATTAGGTAAGAGGGCTTCCCTGGTGGCGCAGTAGTGGAGAGTCCGCCTGCCGATGCAGCGGACACGGGTTCGTGCCCCGGTCCGGGAGGATCCCACGTGCGTCGGAGCGGCTGGGCCCGTGAGCCATGGCCGCTGAGCCTGCGCGTCCGGAGCCTGTGCTCCGCGGCGGGAGAGGCCACAGCAGTGAGAGGCCCGCGTACCGCAAAAAAAAAGAGTGATTCATAGAATCTTCCAGAGTTGGAAGGTACTTTAAAGAACATCCAATCCTGTCTCTTACCTAATTTTTTTTTTTTTTT